TATCTATCTATCTATCTATCTATCTATCTATCTATCTATCTATCTATCCATTCTATCATCTATATCTACAGTATCATCTCTCTTTATCTATCATTTCTATTATCTGTCTGTCTCTAACATCCTATCATTATATCTACAGTATCATGTCTTTATCTATACCTATCACCTCTATTATCTATCTGTCTGTCTGTCTATCTAACTTCTATTCATTTATTAACCAGTCTTTATTATTCTTATAACTAACTCAAGGCAGCAAACATATCCAATAATTCTTCCTCCTTTATTTTCCCCACAACAACCCTGTGATGTGGATTGGGCTGAGAGAGAGGGACTGGCTCAAAGTCCATCTTTCATGGCTGTCAGGACTAGAACTCACAGTCTCCTGGTGATTGGCCCAAAATCACCCCACTGGCTTTCCTGCCAAAGGTGTTGTTTCCGAGGTCATGTAATGGGTGTGTGTGTGTGTGTGTGTCTCACAATTTATGGAGATTCTCAAGTCACCCAGGTCACGGTCTGTAGAGTTGTAATTGCAGGAATGTTCCAATCTCGGATGGCAAACCTCAGATAAAGAATGTTTCCAAGCAAATACAACTCAGGTAAACAAAGTCACTAATCTAAAGGAGGAATAGAGAGAGGAAGTAAACATGTGTTAGACTTTAACTAGAGATAATTAATTGTATTAATTACTGTGCTAAACAGCAACGAAAGTTAAGCAGTAACCAAAGTTAACCAATGATGGAGAATAACTAAAAACGTGTATAAATGCAAGACTAGACTCCAATAAAGATCATCATGATTCAGTTGTTCATGATCAAACAACTCGACTACCTCATCATTACAACAATGGTTGTCCCAAAGGTGCTTTTTAGAGAGGCAACTGGACTTTCTTGAAGACGTTTCGCTTCTCATCCAAGAAGCTTCTTCAGTTCCGACTCAACCGAAGACCCGAAGGAAACACACACACCCCCGGATGAGAAGCAAAAGATCTTCAAGGAAAAACAATGAAAGTCCAGTTGCCTCTTGAAAAAGCACCTTTCGGACAGGTGCTTCAGGTTTTGAAGATAGATGGGACCTGGTTTCCCATTGCCTTCTTCCAAGGTGCATTTTTTTTCCCACTTCTTAAGTCTTGCTACACCTCTGTGAAATCTACATGTTCCCCCATCCAAATATTAACAGATTAACAGATTTGGAAGGGACCTTGTAGGTCATCTAGTCCAACCCCCCCCCGCCCAAGCAGGAGACCCTACATCTCTCCTCCTGACATATGGCAGTCCAGTCTCCTCTTGAAAGCCTCCAGGGATGAACCTCCCACAACTTCCGAAGGCAACTTCTGTTCCATGGGTTGATTGCTCTCGCTGTCAGAAAGTTTCTCCTTATTTCCAGGTTGAATCTCTCCTTGGTCAGTTTCCATCCCTATTACCCAGCGTCTGATCCCGCTTAGCTTCCAGGACAGATAAAGTTATCCTGGTGATTCCCAAAGTTTACCCAGCCAAATCCAATTCCGATCGCTATGCTTGTAAGCATTTAAATAGACCACCTTAAGGGGGAGGGCTACCTCTGAATATAAGAGCGGAAATTAGAACTGGGATGAGAATTCGTTGTTTCTTTCGTTTCCCAGGTTTGCTCAGCTGGCTGTGGTGGCGTATCTGAAAAACAAGATGGGAAATGACTCCGATTTGGAAATCGACATAAAAGACCCAACTTTTTTTGAACATCATGGTGTGGAAGGGAGCACAGATAGCAAGGGAGATCTGAAGGAAAACAAGCAAGAGAAAATCGATGCTCGGGGTAAGTGTCAGCCTCCCTTCTTCTGCTTGTCTCTTTCCCACTGCCACAGAAACGGGGAGACGGAAGAATAATTGGACTTTGGGTGGTGGGGGAAGAGTGCTGGAGGTTGAAGTTGGTGAATTGCAAAAATTGGGGTGCTTTCTTGATTATGCTTACTTGCTTTACTGCGCAGATGTAGCTTCTATTCTCTTGTGATGACCTGGGGTGTGGCACAAAGGCAACACAGTCACATAAGTAAGAAGAGTCCCTTTAATACCGCCAACTTTGCCCCCA